CATCATCGTCATCATCATATACACTTACTGCCAGCATCGTCATCAACATCGTCAACATCGTCATCATCGTCATCGTCATAGACACTCACTGCCAACATCGTCATCAACATCGTCAACATCGTCATCATCATCATCATATACACTTACTGCAGCCATCGTCATCAACATCGTCAAACATCGTCATTATCATATACACTACTGCCAGATCGTCATCAACATCGTCATCATCATCATATACACTTACTGCCAGCATCGTCATCAACATCGTCATCATCGTCATCATCATATACACTTACTGCCAACATCGTCATCAACATCGTCAACATCGTCATCATCGTCATCATCATATACACTTACTGCCAGCATCGTCATCAACATCGTCATCATCGTCATCATCATATAGACTTACTGCCAACATCGTCATCAACATCGTCAACATCGTCATCATCGTCATCAACATCATATACACTTACTGCCAGCATCGCATCAACATGGTCATCATCGTCATCATCATATACACTTACTGCCAGCATCGTCATCAACATCGTAAACATCGTCATCATCGTCATCGTCATAGACACTCACTGCCAACATCGTCATCAACATCGTCAACATCGTCATCATCGTCATCATCATCATATACACTTACTGCCAGCATCGTCATCAACATCGTCATCATCGTCATCATCATATACACTTACTGCCAGCATCGTCATCAACATCGTCATCAACGTCATCATCATATACACTTACTGCCAGACATCGTCATCAACATCGTCAACATCGTCATCGTCATAGGACACTCACTGCCAGCATCGTCATCAACATCGTCATCATAGTCATCATCGTATACACTTACTCGCCAGCATCGTCATCAACATCATCATCATCGTCATCATCATATACTTACTGCCCAGGCATCGTCATCCAACATCGTCATCATCGTCATCATCATATACACTTACTGCCAGCATCGTCATCAACATCGTCATCATCGTCATCATCATATACACTTACTGCCAGCATCGTCATCAACATCGTCATCATCGTCATCATCATATATACTTACTGCCAGCATCATCATCATCATCGTCAACATCGTCATCATCATATACACTCACTGCCAGCATCGTCATCAACATCGTCATCATCGTCATAGGACACTTACTGCCAGCATCGTCATCAAACATCGTCATCATCGTCATCATCATATACACTTACTGCCAGCATCGTCATCAACATCGTCAACATCGTCATCATCGTCATCGTCATAGACACTCACTGCCAACATCGTCATCAACATCGTCAACATCGTCGTCATCGTCATCATCATCATATACACTTACTGCCAGCATCGTCATCAACATCGTCAACATCGTCATCATCGTCATCATCATATACACTCACTGCTAGCATCGTCATCAACATCGTCAACATCGTCGTCATCATCATATACACTTACTGCCAGCATCGCCATCAACATCATCAACATCGTCATCATCATAGACACTTACTGCCAGCATCGTCATCAACATCGTCAACATCGTCATCATCGTCATCATCATATACACTTACTGCCAGCATCGCCATCAACATCGTCAACATCGTCATCATCGTCATCATCATATACACTTACTGCTAGCATCGTCATCAACATTGTCATCATCGTCATAGACACTTACTGCCAGCATCGTTATCATCATCGTCAACATCGTCATCATCATAGACACTCACTGCCAGCATCGCCATCAACATCGTCAACATCGTCATCATCGTCATCATCATATACACTCACTGCCAGCATCGTCATCAACATCGTCATCATCATCGTCATCATCATATACACTTACTGCCAGCATCGTCATCATCATCGTCAACATCGTCATCATCATATACACTCACTGCCAGCATCCTCATCATCATCGTCATCATCGTCATAGACACTCACTGCCAACATCGTCATCAACATCGTCAACATCGTCATCGTCATAGACACTCACTGCCAACATCGTCATCAACATCGTCAACAACAACAACAGCAGCAACACTAATCTTTATCGTTGCTAATCATCATCAGCAGCAGCAGAATAATCATCAACAAAACCAGTACCATTCTCATTGCAGTGATAGTCATAAGCAGTCTACCACCAGCAGTAGCGGACAAACTATATTCATCACTTACCATCCTTCTCATTCGCATCATCATCATCAGCAGCATTATCGAGATCAGCAGCAGCATCATCATCAGCAGCATTATCGAGATCAGCAGCAGCATCATCATCAGCAGCAGCATTATCAAGATCAGTAGCAGCAGCATCATCATCAGCTCCATTATCACTTCTGCACAGCCTGTGCCAAAGTTGCCCTTACAGACCCTGAAAGTTTCCATCCGGGCCGGAAACAGTCCGCGTTAGCGACATTTGACTCTGTGCCATAACCCAACTTGTGTTTCAGGGGTTCATGGGAATTCCCGGCATTATGGGATTGCCCGGACTGGATGGTGACATAGTAAGTGACACTTCAATCCTTTGACGATTCATTGTTATTTTACCTGGCGAGGCCCATTGAGCCCTGGCACGAGCTGTTGACTACCTCGCCTGGTGTACAGGAGGTCGTGGGTTAAATCCCTACCCTGACGCCTGCTCTGTACATGTGGAGTTTGCGTGTCTCTCTCTCTCTCTCCTCCGTGGATTTTGCTCCAGGGCCCTCCGGCTTTTCCCTCCTCCGCATCTAAGAATGAACCGTCACCCGTTCGGAGTCATTTGACTGCCGCTATAAATTTGCACACGACGAGTCGTCGACGATGACGATGATGAAGCTACTTTGGTGAGCTGTCAATTGCGATGGCCAGCTCAGGTCGCTTCTGAGAATATAAGGGAAAAGAGCTACGCAGTAGCTCATTGGGGTCTTAGAAGATGCATTTTTTCTGTTTTTTTTTTTAATGACGATGGCGACTGACTTGGGACGAACCGGTGTTTGCTTTCGTTCTTCCACGTTTCGAGGGCGTTCCAGGACTTCCGGGGAAGATTGGCGACTCGGGACGTCTGGTACGGCGTGCGCTCTCTCCACCCCCGGGTGGAATCTGCGGCCAGTGGCGGATTGAGCTCGGTGCTGGGCCTGCAGCACATGTTGTTGTTGTTATAAAGGGGTCCTACATTTGAAAAAGGAACACTTAAGTGTTAAAACGCGTACATTTTTTAACTCGCTTAGTGAAGCAATTGTAATGTTTTCATTAGCTATGCAGCCAGTTAACACGACAAATCGCTAAGCCTAAGCACCCAGTGGTTCGTAAAAGTCGAAGGCGGTATAGTACTATAGTAATAGAGCAAGTGCAGAATCACTGAACCGGAATTGATATCTCGAAAGCATTTAGCGCGGGCCCTTGAAAGTGCGGGGCCCGTATGTCCTCATCGGGGATTGAACTCAGCCCGTTTCTCAGTGGCACAGCCCACGGCCGTCTGATTTGTAGCCCCGATCCGCACGGAACTTCCCAATGTGCCCTTGCAGGGATTCGTGGGTGAGCACGGAGAGAGGGGACCGCCAGGTTTGGATGGAAACCCGGTAAGTCGCTGCGTGTGTGTGTGTGCCTACACGGTATGAACCGGTCACGGACCTCCCCTAGGTCGACTCAGCCTCAAATGTGTACCTGGTGCGATGCGTAAATGTCGACGTTAGGGGAGACAAAGGTGGCCGGGCGAGGTGCTGGCCACCCATCCACGTCGCGTGCCGCGCCGGCCTTCACAGGTGCTGCTCGCTAACAGCACTTGCCCCAACAGTCTGTTAAGGCTATACGGGGGGTCTTTGTCTTTTGTCTATATATGTGTCTGTCTAAAAATGTGTGTCTACACAGTGTGTGCGCACAGTATGTGTTTGTGTGTGTCTATATATGTATAGTCATCTCAGTCAGTCGACCCGTGCCACCTGCTGGGTCTGCCCCGTGACCTCCTGCCAGCGGGCGTTCGACACTTCACGTGGCCTCAACGTGCACCTAGCCTGGCACAAGCGCCCTGGTGACGTAACCGCCACCAAGTGGCGAGTGGTGTTTGTTGTCTATATATGTGTGGGGAGCGGTGGTGCAGTGGTTAGCGCTACGCAGCACTACGAATCCAGCGTCCCCGAGTTCGATTCCCGCTCATGGCCAAAACCAGTGACGATTATCTGAACCGGTCCTGGGCATCCCCTAGGTCGACTCAGCCTCAAATGAGTACCTGGTGCGGTGCATAAACATCACCACTGGGGAGACAAAGGCGTGGTGCTGGCCACCCACCCCTTCATGTGTCGTGCCGGCCTTCATCGGTGCTGCTGCTCGCTAACAGCACTTGCCCCTACAGTCTGTGGAGGCTACACGGGGGGTCTTTGGCTTTGTGTATCCATTGGTGTAGCTCAAGAAGCCAACGGTAGCTGTGCCAGTGGATTTATTTGTAATTACGCCTGCCCGCGCCTCACTCTGATTGGCTGCTGTCTTGTTTTTCCCCAGGGTGCACTTGGAGCTCCTGGGCCAATAGGAGTGAGAGGGCTGGCGGTGAGGCCTGCTCTATAATGCAAGCGGATTACTTTATATCATTAATGGATTACTTTCTAATTGACCGATTACCTTCTGGTTCATTGATTAACTTTTCGGCTCAATCATTGAGTTACTTTTTGACTACGTCATTGAAATACCTTCTGAAAGCGGTTGATTACAATTCTGTTTCAAACCGTTAGATTACTTTGAAATGCACGAATCACATTTTCATTTCGTAATTGGATTGCTTCGTAATTTTCCCCATTGCCACTTTCTAATTTACTAACCCACGTCTCCCATTTCACTGTTGGATTATGGGGGTTCCGCCCCCCCCCCATAACTATCGAACGCAGAATACCGGTGCATTGCTTGGCTTGTGATTGCGTCTGCCCAGGCTTCCCCTCTGATTGGCTGCTGCCTTGTCTTTGTTTGCCCAGGATGCACTGCGAGCCAATGGGGGTGATATGGTGGGGGAGGAGGTCAACCCTTCTCTTGTCTGGGGAGCGGTGGTGCAGCGGTTAGCGCTACGCTGCGCTATGAACCCGGCGACCCGAGTTCGATTCCCGCTCACGGCCAACACCGGTGACGATTATCTGAACCGGTCCTGGGCCTCCCCTAGCTCGACTCAGCCTCAAATGAGTACCTGGTCGATGTGTAAAAGGCTGCCGGGCGTGGTGCTGGCCACCCACCCCCTCGTGTGCCATGCCGGACTTCATTCAGCACTTGCCCCAACAGTCTGTCCAGGCTATACGGAGGATCTTTGTCTTTGGACGCCACTCTTTCTCTTATGCTATTCCCCATTTTTTCCCTCCCACTACCACCCCATCACCACCACCACCAATCCTGTTGCAATCCAGGGAGACCAAGGCTGTCCGGGCTCTCGGGGAATTCCCGGGATTCGAGGATATAAGGTCGGGAATTCCGGACTCTTTCCATCCCAAACCTTCATGCGGACGCGGGTTAGAAATGTACATGAAAGTAAATAAATAGGTGGAAGTGGGGCCCAAAGGCGCAGGCCTCTAAACTCCCCACATCCGCCACTGCTGGGGGAAGAGGTGCCCTGTGCCACGGGCAGTCGTGGAGAGCTCCTCTCCCGAGAGAGATTATTGGGGCGCTGATAAAATCGTACGCCTGATGAAAAAAAACATCACGGATTTATTCCCGCCTAAACAGAGGCTCCTCTACTTACGAACACTCGACTCATGAACTTTCAGAGACACGAACAAACCCGGTCCGTACGTCCAGTTGCCTGTTTGGACCGAGAGTCGTGAGTTCAACCACCGCGCAATAGATGGCGGTGGTGGCATCTACATCTGCAGAACGTGAAGAACCAGTGGCATCTACATGTACAGAACGTGAAGAACCAGTGGTATCTAAATGTACAGAACGTGAAGAACCATTGGCATCTACATCTGCAGAACGTGAAGAACCAGTGGCATCTACGTCTGCAGAACGTGAAGAACCAGTGTCATCTACGTCTGCAAAACGTGAAGAACCAGTGGTATCTACATCGACAGAACGTGAAGAACCAGTGGCATCTACATGTACAGAACGTGAAGAACCAGTGGCATCTACATGTACAGAACGTGAAGAACCAGTGGCATCTACATCTGCAGAACGTGAAGAACCAGTGGCATCTACGTCTGCAGAACGTGAAGAACCAGTTTCATCTACGTCTGCAGAACGTGAAGAACCAGTGGCATCTACGTCTGCAGAACGTGAAGAACCAGTGGCATCTACATCGACAGAACGTGAAGAACGAGTGGCATCTACATCTGCAGAACGTGAAGAACCAGTGGCATCTACATCTGCAGAACGTGAAGAACCAGTGGCATCTACATCTACATAACGTGAAGAACCAGTGGCATCTACATCTGTAGAACGTGGAGAACCAGTGGCATCTACATCTGCAGAACGTGAAGAATCAGTGGCATCTACATCTGCAGAACGTGAAGAACCAGTGGCATTTACATCTGCAGAACGTGAAGAACCAGTAGCATCTAACGAACGTGAATAACCAGTGGCATCTACATCTACATAACGTGAAGAACCAGTGGCATCTACATCTGCAGAACGTGAAGAACCAGTGGCATCTACATCATGTGAAGAACCACTGGCATCTATATCTACAGAATCTCAAGAATTAGTGGCATTTACATCTGCAGAACGTGAAGAACCAGTAGCATCTACATCTGCAGAACGTGAAGAACCAGTAGCATCTACATCTGCAGAACGTGAAGAACCAGTGGCATCTACATCTGAAGAACGTGAAGAACCAGTGGCATCTACATCTGCAGAACGTGAAGAACCAGTAGCATTTACATCTGCAGAACGTGACGAACCAGTGGCATCTACATGTACAGAACGTGAAGAACCAGTGGCATCTACATGTACAGAACGTGAAGAACCAGTGGCATCTACATCTGCAGAACGTGAAGAACCAGTGGCATCTACATCTGCAGAACGTGAAGAACCAGTGGCATCTACGTCTGCAGAACGTGAAGAACCAGTGGCATCTACGTCTGCAGAACGTGAAGAACCAGTGGCATCTACATCTGCAGAACGTGAAGAACCAGTGACATCTACATAACGTGAAGAACCAGTGGCATCTACATCTGTAGAACGTGAAGAAATAGTGGCATCTGCATCTGCAGAACGTGAAGAACCAGTGGCATCTACATCTACATAACGTGAAGAACCAGTGGCATCTACATCTGTAGAACGTCAAGAACCAGTGGCATCTACATCTGCAGAACGTGAAGAACCAGTGGCATCTACATCTGCAGAACGTGAAGAACCAGTGGCATTTACATCTGCAGAGCGTGAAGAACCAGTAGCATCTAACGAACGTGAATAACCAGTGGCATCTACATCTACATAACGTGAAGAACCAGTGGCATCTACATCTGCAGAACGTGAAGAACCAGTGGCATCTACATCATGTGAAGAACCACTGGCATCTATATCTACAGAATCTCAAGAATTAGTGGCATTTACATCTGCAGAACGTGAAGAACCAGTAGCATCTACATCTGCAGAACGTGAAGAACCAGTAGCATCTACATCTGCAGAACGTGAAGAACCAGTGGCATCCACATCTGAAGAACGTGAAGAACCAGTGGCATCTACATCTGCAGAACGTGAAGAACCAGTAGCATCTACATCTGCAGAACGTGAAGAACCAGTGGCATCAAAAAAAGTTGTAACACTTACTTGGGACTATCGTTTTTAATGGAAAAAGAACGGCTAAAACACTGTAACATGATAACATATGTTTCTTAATAGCTTCAAAAATTCGAAGAGTCTCCCACTTGTTCGCTATCATTGGTCTTCAGCGCACATTTATATTGTTGCAAATTCTACGAACGGTTAACATCTTTTTGAAGCACGCTGTATTTGGAGTTTGCGGTGTCTCTCTCTGTCTCTCTCTCCCTGTGGTCGAGCGGATTTTTCTCCGGGTCCTCCGGTTTTTCGCCCTCCGGAGGACCCGGCTGAAGGAGTGGACTGATGATGATGACAATGGTAGTGATTGTTGTTATTTACGATCGTGTGTAACCCTCGCCGCCATGTGTTGTTTCAAGGGCTTGGCCGGAAGCAGAGGGGAGGCTGGATTGAAAGGTGATAAGGTGATTTACATGACCACATCCGTGACCGTATCTCAGAGCGGAATCCAAATCGCGATAATAATTCACAACAAGGGTTGTTTTTTGGGGGTTAGATCGCCTAAATATAAATGCCTGCACACGGCCAATTCCTAAGGCGGTGTCACGCAAACAAAATGTGCCGATGAGTTAACTGCTTCGGCATACCGGTTCTACACACCTGTCAACCCCTTGTCGGTGCCCTACCTTATCACAGATCAGCTCAGACCTTACCGGTCACCCCGTGCCCCTCGTAAATCTCAGCGTTCATCCTACAAAGTCCCATCACAAGGGAGAAACGCCCGTATTGAAACGGCTGTACGCCGCGTGGGCCTTAAAACTCAATTACGCTACACAAGCGATACGATCTGCGGATAACCGCAGATAGTATCGTGCAGCCTGCAAGCAACACGAAATAATCACGTGATGAACATTGCACGTGGAACTTATTTTGCACCGTACGCAGCCGACCGTGCTAATCGGAGGTGCGTTACTTTCAAGGGAACGGCGCCGGGGGAAGGAAAGTGCTGCCCTCTGCTGTGTATGTGGACCAATGTCACTTGAGTAAGAAGAAGAAGGGGATCTCAGAGGTAGCTCTGTCATGTCCACTTCCACGGGCCATTCTGTGTGCACCAGAGCGTCGCTTGAATAAGAAGAAGAAGGGGATCTCAGAGGTAGCTCTGCGATATCCGCTTCCGCAGACCGTTCTGCGTACTGCAATGGCGACGTGACACCCCCCCACAGTAGCGCGGTGGCAATGAAGTGAAACGGTGAAATAAACGGCGCGTGATTCATGCCGTGTGAATTTGCAGGGCCCGGAAGGTGTCCCCGGTGAAAATGGAAAACCCGGATTCCCAGGGGATAAGGTGAGAGGCCTGCGAGAGAGTCGCCTGCGTTGATCTCGAACGCACAACGAGGTCCAGGTGGCGACATTTTTTTTATATTTTCCGGATTTTTACGATTTTTTTTAACACGTTCCTGTTTCGGATTTATCCGATCGCACGGCGTGACGTCGCGGGAAGTGATGTCACGCTCGTCACCGATGACGTCACCGCGGGAAGTGATGTCACGCTCGTCACCGATGACGTCACCGCGGGAAGTGATGTCACGCGCATTATCGATGACGTCACCGCGGGAAGTGATGTCACGCTCGTCACCGATGACGTCACCGCGGGAAGTGATGTCACGCTCGTCACCGATGACGTCGCGAGAAGTGATGTCACGCTCGTCACCGATGACGTCGCGGGAAGTGATGTCACGCTCGTCACCGATGACGTCGCGGGAAGTGATGTCACGCTTGTCACCGATGACGTCACCGCGGGAAGTGATGTCACGCTCGTCACCGATGACGTCGCGGGAAGTGATGTCACGTGCATTACCGATGACGTCACCGCGGGAAGTGATGTCACGCTCGTCACCGATGACGTCACCGCGGGAAGTGATGTCACGCTCGTCACCGATGACGTCACCGCGGGAAGTGATGTCACGCTCGTCACCGATGACGTCACCGCGGGAAGTGATGTCACGCTCGTCACCGATGACGTCGCGGGAAGTGATGTCACGCGCGTCACCGATGACGTCACCGCGGGAAGTGATGTCACGCTCGTCACCGATGACGTCACCGCGGGAAGTGATGTCACGCTCGTCACCGATGATGTCACCGCAGGAAGTGATGTCACGCTCGTCACCGATGACGTCACCGCGGGAAGTGATATCACGGTCGTCACCGATGACGTCGCGAGAAGTGATGTCACGCTCGTCACCGATGACGTCACCGCGGGAAGTGATGTCACGCTCGTCACCGATGACGTCGTCACCGCGGCCTGCTCCGTCCGTCGAGCGATTTGCCATGGCTGCCCCCTTTAACCAAGTCGCACTCTGCATGGGGTTGTGTTGTGAGCCCCCCACCACCACGCTGCAGCGACTTGGTGACCTTTGAAGCTTTGTTTAATGTGAAGAATAATCCAGACTGGCGGTGGTTCTTCACTAATTTAGTAATCTAGACCAGCGGTGGTTCTTCACTAATTTAGTAATCTAAACCAGCGGTGGTTCTTCACTAATTTAGTAATCTAGACAGGCAGTGGTTCTTCACTAATTTAGTAATCTAGACCGGCGGTGGTTCTTCACTAATTAAATAATCTAGACAGGCGGTGATTCCTCACTAATTTAGTAATCTAGACAGGCGGTGGTTCTTCACTAATTTAGTAATCTAGACCGATGGTGGTTCTTCACTAATTTAGTAATCTAGACTGGTGGTGGTTCTTCACTAATTTGGTAATCTAGACAGGCGGTGGTTCTTCACTAATTTAGTAATCTAGACTGGCGGTGGTTCTTCACTAATTTAGTAATCTAGACTGGCGGTGGTTCTTCACTAATTTAGTAATCTAGACTGGCGGTGGTTCTTCACTAATTTAGTAATCTAGACCAGCGGTGGTTCTTCACTAATTTTATAATCTAGACTGGCGGTGGTTCTTCACTAATTTAGTAATCCAGACTGGCGGTGGTTTTTCACTAATTTAATAATCTAGACAGGTGGTGGTTCTTCACTAATTTAGTAATCTAGACAGGCGGTAGTTCTTCACTAATTTAGTAATCTAGACTGGCGGTGGTTCTTCACTAATTTAGTAATCTAGACTGCCGGTGGTTCTTCACTAATTTAGTAAACTAGGGTGGCGGTGGTTCTTCAATAATTTAGTAATCTAGACAGGTGGTGGTTCTTCACTAATTTAGTAATCTAGACAGGCGGTAGTTCTTCACTAATTTAGTAATCTAGACTGGCGGTGGTTCTTCACTAATTTAGTAATCTAGACTGCCGGTGGTTCTTCACTAATTTAGTAATCTAGGCTGGCGGTGGTTCTTCAATAATTTAGTAATCTAGACCGGCGGTGGTTCCTCACTAATTTAGTAATCTAGACTGGCGGTGGTTCTTCACTAATTTAGTAATCTAGACAGGTGGTGGTTCTTCACTAATTTAGTAATCTAGACTGGCGGTGGTTCTTCACTAATTTAGTAATCTAGACAGGCGGTGGTTCTACATTATTTAGAAATCTAGACTGGCGGTGGTTCTTCACTAATTTAATAATCTAGACAGGTGGTGGTTCTTCACTAATTTAGTAATCTAGACAGGCGGTAGATCTTCACTAATTTAGTAATCTAGACTGGCGGTGGTTCTTCACTAATTTAGTAATCTAGACTGCCGGTGGTTCTTCACTAATTTAGTAATCTAGGCTGGCGGTGGTTCTTCAATAATTTAGTCATCTAGACCGGCGGTGGTTCCTCACTAATTTAGTAATCTAGACTGGCGGTGGTTCTTCACTAATTTAGTAATCTAGACAGGTGGTGGTTCTTCACTAATTTAGTAATCTAGACAGGCAGTGGTTCTTCACTAATTTAGTAATCTAGACAGGTGGTGGTTCTTCACTAGTTTAGTAATCTAGACAGGCGTTGGTTCTTCACTAATTAAGTAATCTAGACTGGCGGTGGTTCTTCACTAATTTAGTAATCTAGACAGGTGGTGGTTCTTCACTAATTTAGTAATCTAGACAGGCGTTGGTTCTTCACTAATTAAGTAATCTAGACTGGCGGTGGTTCTTCACTAATTTAGCAATCTAGACTGCCGGTGGTTCTTCACTAATTTAGTAATCCAGACTGCCGGTGGTTCTTCACTAATTTAGTAATCTAGACTGGCGGTGGTTCCTCACTAATTTAGTAATCTAGACTGGTGGTGGTTCTTCACTAATTTAGTAATCTAGACTGGCGGTGGTTCTTCACTAATTTAGTAATCTAGACTGGCGGTGGTTCTTCACTAATTTAGTAATCTAGACAGGCGGTGGTTCTTCACTAATTTAGTAATCTAGACAGGCGGTGGTTCTTCACTAATTTAGTAATCTAGACTGGCGGTGGTTCTTCACTAATTTAGTAATCTAGGCAGGCGGTGGTTCCTCACTAATTTAGTAATCTAGACCAGTGGTGGTTCTTCACTAATTTAGTTATCTAGACTAGCGGTGGTTCTTCACTAATTTAGTAATCTAGACAGGCGGTGGTTCTACACTTATTTAGCAATCAAGACTGCCGGTGGTTCTTCACTAATTTAGTTATCTATACTAGCGGTGGTTCTTCACTAATTTAGTAATCTAGACTGGCGGTGGTTCTTCACTAATTCAGTAATCTAGACAGGCGGTGGTTCTACATTATTTAGACTGGTGGTGGTTCTTCACTAATTTAATAATCTAGACAGGTGGTGGTTCTTCACTAATTTAGTAATCTAGACAGGCGGTAGTTCTTCACTAATTTAGTAATCTAGACTGGCGGTGGTTCTTCACTAATTTAGTAATCTAGACTGCCGGTGGTTCTTCACTAATTTAGTAATCTAGGGTGGCGGTGGTTCTTCAATAATTTAGTAATCTAGACCGGCGGTGGTTCCTCACTAATTTAGTAATCTAGACTGGCGGTGGTTCTTCACTAATTTAGTAATCTAGACAGGTGGTGGTTCTTCACTAATTTAGTAATCTAGACAGGTGGTGGTTCTTCACTAATTTAGTAATCTAGACAGGCGTTGGTTCTTCACTAATTAAGTAATCTAGACTGGCGGTGGTTCTTCACTAATTTAGCAATCTAGACTGCCGGTGGTTCTTCACTAATTTAGTAATCCAGACTGCCGGTGGTTCTTCACTAATTTAGTAATCTAGACTGGCGGTGGTTCCTCACTAATTTAGTAATCTAGACGTGTGGTGGTTCTTCACTAATTTAGTAATCTAGACTGGCGGTGGTTCTTCATTAATTTAATAATCTAGACTGGCGGTGGTTCTTCACTAATTTAGTAATCTAGACAGGCGGTGGTTCTTCACTAATTTAGTAATCTAGACAGGCGGTGGTTCTTCACTAATTTAGTAATCTAGACTGGCGGTGGTTCTTCACTAATTTAGTAATCTAGGCAGGCGGTGGTTCCTCACTAATTTAGTAATCTAGACCTGTGGTGGTTCTTCACTAATTTAGTTATCTAGACTAGCGGTGGTTCTTCACTACTTTAGTAATCTAGACAGGCGGTGGTTCTACACTTATTTAGCAATCTAGACTGCCGGTGGTTCTACACTAATTTAGTTATCTAGACCAGCGATGGTTCTTCACTAATTTACTAATCTAGACTGGGGGTGGTTCTTCACTAATGTAGTAATCTAGACAGGCGGTGGTTCTTCACTAATTTAGTAATCTATACTGGTGGTGGTTCTTCACTAATTTAGTAATCTAGACAGGCGGTGGTTCTTCACTAATTTAGTAATCTAGAAAGGCGGTAGTTCTTCACTAATGTAGTAATCTAGCCAGGTGGTGGTTCTTCACTAATTTAGTAATCTAGACAGGCGGTGGTTCTTCACTAATTTAGTAATCTAGACTGGCGGTGGTTCTTCACTAATTTAGTAATCTAGACTGGCGGTGGTTCTTCACTAATTTAGTAATCTAGACTGCCGGTGGTTGTTCACTAATTTAGTAATCTAGACCAGCGGTTGTTCTTCACTAATTTGGTAATCTAGACTGGCGGTGGTTCTTCACTAATTTAGTAATCTAGACAGGTGGTGGTTCTTCACTAATTTAGTAATCTAGACAGTCGGTGGTTCTTCACTAATTTAGTAATCTAGACAGGTGGTGGTTCTTCACTAATTTAGTAATCTAGACAGGCGTTGGTTCTTCACTAATTAAGTAATCTAGACTGGCGGTGGTTCTTCACTAATTTAGCAATCTAGACTGCCGGTGGTTCTTCACTAATTTAGTAATCCAGACTGCCGGTGGTTCTTCACTAATTTAGTAATCTAGACTGGCGGTGGTTCCTCACTAATTTAGTAATCTAGACTGGTGGTGGTTCTTCACTAAT